TTAAGCCCTAGAAAATAAATAAATTCAAAAATTATTCGCAAATATGAAAAAACGCTGGCAAATTTGAAAAAGTGTTCACATCTTCACAATGTGCATGCCCACCTGTTGACCAAAGTTGATGCCTTTTTTGAATGTCCAAAAAAAACCATGTACAACATAGGGTGCCTAGATATGTGACAAGGCTGCACTGAGAGCATGTTGTTTCTCAACATCCGTTAAATGAACTCAATTTTTTTCATTGACTTGTATGATCAATTCAAGGCACCGTGCCAAGTTGTATTGGTTTTCTAGAAATTTTCCGTTTTCTGGTGTTTTTCTTAGTAAAAAAAGGCGATAAATGGCCTGATGTGACGCAACTTGCATATGGTGTCGGAAATAATTCAAATCTGGCATGGATGCCTACCATGAGCATTCTCACCTGCTCGTAAAAGTCGGGGTCAGTTCATACATGTCCGAAAATAGACCATGTTTAACAAGGTGCTCGGGCAGGCCAAAAGGTTCCGTATGAGAGCATGTTTTATTTGACATCTTTAAATGACTCCAATTTTTTCCCATAAGCTTAAATAGCCAATCCAAGGCACCATGCCAAGTTGTTTGAGTTTTTAACAGTTCTTTCAATTTCTATAGTTTTCTCGATGAAAAATGGCTATACATGCTCGAACATGATGCAACTTGCATATAGTGTCAAAATTCGTTCAAACCATGAGCATGCCCACCTATTGGCAATAGTTGGGTCATTTCATGCATGTCCAAAAAATGGACCATTTTCAACGGGTGTTGTTTGGGTAGGCGAGATGGGTCCGTATGAGAGCACGTTTTATCGGCATGGTGAAATGACCCAAAAAATTCCATGAGCTTATATCACCAATTCAAGGCACCATGCCAATTTGTTTGAGTTTTCAATTTGTTTTTGCAATTTATGGAGTTCTCTCGATGAAAAATGGACCACAAATGGCCGAACGTGACGCAACTTGCGCATGGTGTCGGAAATCATTCAAACCTGGCATGATTGTCTGCCATGGGCATGCCCGGGTCATTTTATGCATGTCCAAAAATATATCATGTTCAATGCAGGGTGTCCGGGTAGGCCAGATGAGTTCTTATACGAGTGCTTTTTTTGCATCTTCAAATGACCGCAAATTTGTCCATGAACTTTTATGACCAATTCAAGGCATCATCCCAAGTTGTTTGAGTTTTTCGGCAGTGTTTGCATTTTCTGGAGTTTTCTCAATGAAAATGATCGATAAATGGCCAGACGTCACACAACTTGCATAAGGTGTTGGAATCGTCCAAACCTGGCATGGATGCCTACCATGCGCATGCCCATCCGCTAGCAAAAGTTGGGGAGGTCTCGAGAATGTCCAAAACTAGACCATGTTCTAAACACACGAATTTATTTTCCTGAAAAAACCCAGAGTAAAATAAAACAAAAGCCGGTTTTAAACACATGAATTTGTTTTCCTGAAAATTTGTAAAGTTACATTAGCCACATAAGAAGCTAAAAGGAAAGGAAGTGTTCAAAAAACTATTCAAACTGTTAGTTCTAAAGTTTGCACGCTCCTCATATTTCTGTAAAAGTGTTCAAAATGTTGCTCGGAAAAAATGTTCTTAATATTTGGAATTAACATATCTCCTTAAAAATTTGAAATGTTCATGCTTGTATAAACTATTATTCAATTTTTTAAAATATTTTCATGCTTTTATGAAAAGTGATTTTTTTAAACGTGTTCAAGTTGTTCAAAAAAAATGTTGGATTATGAAACATTATTCAATTTTTAAAAATTCATTCAGAATTTTCTTGGTGTCACTCTCTCCATTTGGGTTTATTGGGTCCAAGAGCCACCAAAACTTGTACCATGTTTACTAGGCTGTTGTATAGTTTATAAAAAAAACAATTAGGCTGCTGCATTTAAGCACGTCACTTTATTCCCTAGTCTCTCCATGGAAGCTAGCGCATGGGTTTCCTTGATTGGATCATGCAGCACCATTGCATGCACATGTTAGTTAATATGCCTAATTAATAGCGGCGATTAGCTAAGAGATTTATTTCCATTTTTTCCTGTGCGTTTTTCGTGGTGTTCCCGTTTCGGCTCATGGGCCCAATAATTCCGGGGTAGGGTTTCTTAAGTTTGCACGTTCCTAACCATTCGCAAACGCTAGTCAGGTCAACTGGCGAGCCTTTTAACTTAATGTATAAAGGTCTGTGGTTCGATTCTTAGCGAAGGCATGTATTTTGTGAATTTTTACATCTCGTGTCGCCCTCTCTCCAGCCTTCACCAATGGGCCGGCCCAGTTGAGGGTGTCTCCCATCCCATATACACGTTCGGGACATATTTTAAAAAAAGACTATCCTGCCCTTTGTTATGAAGGGGTATGAAGAAATCTCGTGCGTTGATGTGTTTAGGGGGGTTGTACCGAAGAAGAAGTGAATATAAAATAGTTGTGTTTAGGGGGTTGTACCGAAGAAGAAGTGAATATAAAATAGTTGTGTTTAGGGGGTTGTACTGAAGAAGAAGTGAATATAAAATAGTTGGAAATGTAATTGACAATGACTCGGTTTTGCAAAGCAGGGTAAGCCAGATGCAGAGAATAGAAGGTCGTGTAGATGGCGACTGACCTGCATTAATACGGCTACTGTGGGCGGCTGACAATAGTTGGTACTCCCTTTGTAAACTAATATAAGAGAATCACAGCCAAGCACATAGATGTGTACACGAATAATCTGATACAGCCAGATGAAGCGGCGCAGGATGATGGCGAGGTGAGCACTGCAAACTCAGAGCAGGCAACGTTCGCCTTTGGTTTTATGCGATTGCTCCACGGTGATAAGTGTTCCAGGGTGAAGTTGTCCTCATGGATGGCAAAGGCGGAACGAGCTGCAAGCAGGAAGTGGGCGTGGACTCAGGTTGCGGTTCTTTTGGAAGAAGGTTTCGGCGATTTCCCAACCTTCGGCATGCAGGTCAAATAAAGTGTTGCTATAACTGATGTGGAAAATGGATCCGACCATGTATGTGCCGATTGACTTTAGTGACACTTGCTCACACGAAGAGGGGGTCAGTAGCATCTCCTGTAAGCGTAGGCAAACAAAGAGTTGGTTTTGTTGACCGTCTGTGTCGCTGTGTTTTTTCGGTCTCGCATGTAGAGCTTTGACTACTAGCGTAGTTACTGGGGTTTGCATTTTGGGAGCACTTGTTGAAGGTAGTAGTCTGATATGCGTGAGCCAGCTTTTTTGATTGTCGAAACCATTGGTGTTGTAATGTAGGACCTTGTTGCCGGAGTGCATCTGTTAGTACATTTCTAGTCGTAGTTTTTTGGTCATGACTGGTGTGAGGTGGTGCGTGCGTGTAAAAGATGCAAATCATGCCTCAGGAAATAGAAAATGGCATTCGTATTATTTCGTTAATGACAAATCATGCCTCATTGCCATGTGTAATACAGACGAGCCGGATGTGTGTCCCTTGCAGCAGCTAACCAACCAAGACGGCTCAGCGGGGTACAGGACTGAGCCGTGCACGGGTCATCTGTTCCAGCTGAAGGTGACGGTGGCCGTCGCAATTAATGCACGCAGGAACATACCATATTTGAGTGCAATACAATGTCTATACCTGACGCAAATACAATCACATGCACAGATCCAGATGGTAGCGAATGGTGCTGATTTCAGGTTCAACTGAGCCCGAGCTCAGAATGGAATATCCGCTTGTCCTCTCCTTTTCTATATATATAATAAAAAAGAAACCCTCCATCGCCAAAAAAGAAAAAGAAGAAACCCTCTCCTCTCCTCTCTGTCTCTCGCTTGGACCGCTCTCCTTCCTCCTCCGCCGCCGCCGCCCGCCCGCAGTTCCTACCGCACTCGGGCGGAGATCTTCCTCCTCTCGGTAAGCCCAGCCCTAATCCGCTCGCTCTCTCTTCCATCTACTTCGTCTGCGCCGTGGATTTTTCAATCCTCATCCTTCCCCGAGCAACCCAACGCCAGAACCCTACCCGCCTGACCTAGCTCCTCCAACTCCGATGACGAGAGAGACGGTGTTGTTGAGAGCCCTGCTGCCCTAGTGCAGGCTAGCGAGATGCATCCGCCCCTCCCCTGCTCTAGTGTTTGCTGCGATGGCTGGCCCCCCTCAAAAACAGCCCTGCTGCTTTGGTTGTGGTGCCTGTGTTCCTCACACTAGTTGTTTTTTGATGCTATTGTAGTTGGTGTACCACTGTTTTGTTTTTTATAATGAATGTAATTGATTTCCAGACCTCGGATCTACAGCTGTGCAATTGTTCACATATGGATTGGTCGAATTCTAGCATCTCTAGATCCTACTGTCAATATCATCTTATATGTCCGATCTTAGGACTATAATTGTCCATCAAATTGCTTCTCGTGGAAGAATCTCTTCATCTAGAGATCGGTGATATACATGGCAGTTCTTGTTACATGTATGTCCTCACTACAGAATCTAATGATTTTTGAAATTTTGTTTTGTTTATTTGCACAAGATAAACAGCAAAGATTGTCCAAAATCGTCATATGTATTCGTTCGCCTTTGTGACTATATATTTCTGTCATTGCTTGTACGACCTGTTGCAACTTGCAAGTGTTGACGTTTTTTATGTAAATATAAAAGCTGGACGGAAGCATGTGCATGCTGTTAAGTTTAGTTACTAAACCTGAATATTCTGTTTTCCGAATAAGATCGATGCATTGTAGTGTAGCAACTCTGAATGGTGCTCTCTAGCTAGCTAGCTGGTGAGTCTTGTTGGCTGATTTGGCATTTGCCTGCTAGCTATTGATTCTATTCTAGAATGTGTTAGTAAGTTAATTGAGAACTTTATGTTTACTTTTTGGCCCCCCGCACCCCAACTTGCCGCACCTGCATCACGTTTTGACTAACATAAAAAACAAATCTTTCATTATTAGCAATTAATTGGCATATCAATTACTGATTGTCACAGGGATGCCTGCGCAGAATCCTTTACTAACATGAAAATGAAATCCTTGACAGACTGCCAGAATGCCCCTGAAGAAGCGCCTGCACCTGTCGCCCGCTGGTCCCAAGCTGGAAGACCATGTCGAGGAAGCTGCTTCTGCTGTCTCTACCTTTGGCACGGAAGGTAGCATGCATGGTGAGTTTTACCGACTCCTGCTCGCAATCTGCACGATGCATAGTACTCATCACATTCTTTGTTCTGTGCGGGGTTATTGAGTGGCTTGCATGTTTGATGCACTTAGCAGATTCCGAGGAGGAAGTTGGCGATAGCGGCAGCAGTGGCGGGGACAACGAAGACGATGGTGGCAGCCATTCATCGCAGATTGACGGTGCCGACATGGACGAGTAAGTGATCAGAGTTCTCTTTTTAGACAGTTTTTCTATTTTGTATGCATGTCTCCTGCAGTTAATACTCCCTCCGTTCCATAATGTAGTGCCTATAGATTTTTACAAAAGTCAAACATTACAAACTTTGACCATGTATATAGAGAAAAGTAGGTACATCTAGAATACCAAATGCATCTCATTGGATACATCGTGAGTGATATTTTCAAAATATACATGTTTGATATTGTAGATGTAGACAATTTTCTCTATACACTTGGTCAAAGTTGGCAAAGTTTGACTTTTACAAAAATCTATAGGCACTACATTATGGAATGGAGGGAGTACTAGCTAGCTGCAAGGTGCAAGTCAGCCCCTCGGTTGCTGTTACGATCAGTGCATTATCCTGTTATTAGGAATCATTTTGTTCACTGGATAAACTCTATTATCAGATTCTGGAACACATACTTTGTCAGCTTAGATCCCTCAGCTCGCTAATTGGGTCAAAAGATCAAATCGACTCTTCTTCGGCCTGTCAAATATGAGTTTCGAGTGTTCAAGTACTCAAGTGCTAATAGTCCCATTATGAACACCTGAACTTTATATTGTAGCTACACATTTCTTTGAAAAAGGAACTAAATTATCACAGAACACTTGTAACTGTTCTATAAATAATTGGTATGCCAATCGGTAATGGAAGATTTGATTTTCATGTTAGTCAGTGCTTATAAATTGTTTATTGATCTTGAACCTTGCAATGAATGCAAGTTGTAATCAAACCTTTTAATCGTTTATTGTGATCTGCTTGTTATATCCACGGGAACAAGCTTATGTCTATTAGTTGGTAATTTCTTTGGCCAGAAGATTACTTCGTTATACTGAACTGTAGTTTCACATTTCCTGTTCACAATGAAAAAGATTTGTCATAGCAACAAGCAATAGTTGGTCCATTGGATTAAAACCAGAGATGTTTTCTACATGTGTGCTTTTTGCTTCTTATCCTGCTTTATTTATTTGATCTGTTGATTTCTTAGAAAAAGAACATATGAACAACCCCTTCAATCAAATAGTGGATATTTTATTAAGGTTTTATTTTGAAAAGCTTCCAAATCTTCACACGGAGCTAGACGGTCTCTTCGCCATGAATGTTCTTCTCCAGCTATACTAGTAGAGCGCCCGTGCGTTGCCACGGGCCAACAGATGAATCTATCACAGGCCTCTCAACTTCAGCTCTTCGATCATTTGTGTAATAATTTGCTATGTTGTCACCCCACTTCAAATCTAACAAATGAATACCAGACACTTGGCTTCGGCTCTACATTGCCACCCGGCTCAAATTCGCATATGTTTTCTTAAGTTCGCCATATTGCCATAAGCATTCCCATCATCTCTAACTTTGAATGTCTTCCAACATTCATCATCATGCACTCCCTATAAAAAGTTCTGACAGTTAAATAAGGTCCTTGTACAATTTTGCAATGTTATACATCAAAAAACCTAAATTGCTCTCATTATTTTCCCGTGTAAGCATTGCATGAGATACGATAGCTCCACTCGTACGAACCCTCCTACCTCACTATTAGAATCACCCCATACAAAGAAAAATATCTAGGATCATATCACATGCACATAATGATCAAGGCGTAGCACTTTTGTTGTCGAATTAGGTGTTGTGCAAACAATTTGTTTCCGCTTTTGGCCACTACAAATCACATGAAACAAGTTCTTCTCACTTGAATTGATGACTCATCCATCATATTTGTATTTTGTTATGGAACTGATTTCATGCATCATCGTCCCTCTAGCTGGTTACTATGACACAACTTCATAACGGGCATCTAGTCCCTGCTCTCTGCACTACACTATTTCTCTCACATGCTCGTGCTCCTTGCCTCTCCCATGGACACCACAACTTTCACCAAGTAGGGGATCCCTATGATGTAAAAATCCTTCATAGAAAACAAAATAAATGTCATATGCGTATATTTTTCTATCTCAACCATTTACAATCCCTGGAATGATTCTCCCCGTTTCTCCTACAGCCTACATTACCAAACTTTGTCGTCGTTCAGCAACAATGCATGCCCTTGTTTCTTTGATACGCACCCAAAACAATTAAAAACTCCGTTAATGAGATTCTTCGTATTTATCATAACACGGTTAATCAAAATAGAAGAACTAATAACCTTCTCACTGAAAAAGGAAAAAAATATAGTGCCCTACTGTCAGTGGCAATGTAGGCAGCCTCGACTTGCAGCCACTGATGCAAACCCACAATCCAAGGAAAGAAACCATGACTTCATGCAAAAATCATAATAAGTATTGTCTTGTTGTATAAAGAATATTTTCTTTCGAGAGAGACTTATAGTACTTGACATGAAGAACATGGACTTGTCCTCTTGACACCATTAATATATTATTAAATAGATACAAAATAACAGGACACATACACATGTTCATCTTTTCAGAGCATGCACACATACGACATTTCCAACATGTAAGTTCTGAAGTATCCTTCGTTGAAATGTTGCCATCGCTGATAGAAGTATCCTTCACTGAAATGTAAGTTTTGAAGTATCCTTCACAGCCTGCACACAAACGACTTTTTCAGAGCATGCACACAGACACCACATCAGGTTGGCCACCTTAAATGTTGACTTCGCTGAAAGAAGTAACCTGGAAGATATGGACAAAACTATTCATAAAAATTGAATTGTTTTTCATTACAATAAAAATTAGCATATCCATGTAAGCATGTATTGAGATTAATTATGAAAGGAGGCTAATTATCATAGTTCTAGTGGTGATTAAATTTTGGCCTTCACAAGAGATATGAAGCACCATGTGAATGGTATCCAGAAAGGGAATGCTAGCGAAAATGGGCAGATCAAACGATCTCATAATTTCACATCGTCAGCTAGCCTGCTAAATCATTTTACAGAAGGATGATATTGATGAATGGACTGGTTATTAGTTATATGATTGCATTGAAATAGTAGGACAAGCCCCATGATCTTATTGATCTGCTTCGATGAGTCTTGACTGCAATCCGGACCGTGCTAATTATGGTGCTAAGCGAGGCACGGCAGCGAAGTCATTCCTAGAGAGCTTCCAGCACAGCGAGACCTGATGCAACACCTGCTCATAGTGGTCATGGGTAAGAAGGTTCTTGAATAACTTTGGGTCCTTGCGTACTTAAACTAAAAATGAAACGACATTAAAATCAACACAATTTTGAACAAAATTGAAGTCTTGCCAATCCTTCTATGTCGAAGCAAAAGCATGTCAAGTATTTGCGCACAACTATATGCAACAACTGAAAATGTTTGGGGAGAAATCAACAAACCTGTTATAGATGTGGTCCTTATAGATGGGATAGTTGAGATCTCTCCCCTGTGCCTTGATTTCAATTCTCGACCATCAACTACTTCACACTTGGGCGTGTCAGCTGTTTTCGATTTGAAAAGAAGGGAAATCATTTCTTCTGTAATACAAGCAATATAATGAAGGATTATTAACTGTAACATTGTACTTCTTTAAAAAGAAATGAAAAGGTGGCATTTTATCCGAAAGTGGCAGCATGCAGAGAAGATAGGTAGTCAGGTAATTGAGATGCCAGTGCCTTCTGGGTTAGTTATGTACTTCAATTTGTAAGTAATTAATAGTTCAAAAGTCCAGAGCCAAAACTACCCCTTCAACTAAGCATCATTTTCTCTGAAAATTTGAAGTTGCACAAAACTTGCTATTTCGTTCTGGCTAGACATATCAGTTAAATCCAGAGCTCACAAAAATTATATACATAGCTAGCTGGTTGACATATCTGACATCATTGTTCACAATTTATTTGACAAATGAATTGATTGTCAAGCATTATTGACGTGGATGAGAGACCTAGTTTCTAGAGCTGCAACACATCATTATCAGAAAAAGGATAATATACTAACATGGATGGTTATTCATATTGCTAGAAAGGTTCAAATATATAGTTGGGACTTATATCAGTAAGAACCTTAGTAAAAAATTATTGTGTGCATAACTGATGCATTTAGGAAGTAAATACAGAACTTAAAAGAACTGTTTGGTGCAGCATTGTTATTTCTTTGTTGAGCAAAATAAGAGGTGTTGCAAAACCACACAATTTTAAATGTGTCTTCTAAATTGAATGCTCGTTCAACGGGCCATGTGAAAAGTTAAAACATGCTAGACAAAGGGATTGTTTTATTCCATGAAATTACTACTTGTGTGGTGGTATCCCAAGAAACAAAATATGATGCCTTACAATTTTCTACTTTATACCCCATGTATAATTGATTCTACTATATCTCATAAATAGTATAACTATTTACTATCAGGTGGAAGTCACATACTCCCTCCATCCCAAAATAAACTGTCTCAACTTTAGTACAATTTTGTACTAAAGTTAGTACAAAGTTAAGAGACACTTATTTTGGGACGGCGGGAGTAATACCAAAAAACTAACACAAGCTGCCTTAAGTATATTACATTTTCAGAAAAGCATATTTGAAAATAAGGTGCATCTAGTACTTTGCATGGCGCTACTTCACTACAAGTCTGCAATATGCTACAAATAGGCATACTGAACGCTAGGGATTTAAAGTGCACAAAGCAAAAAATAATTGAAATGCTCTGGACACTTATTGATTATGATCAACACCAACTATAAAGCTCATTGTAAAATGTAATCTTGTTAAATCTGGAACTAAGTTCTGTGTACGCATTTAACAACATAACCTTAAGGCCTTAAATTAACAAAAAGAAAAAAATAACAACTCTTGTTGATCCATAACATATATGTACTATATAGCAGTTGCCAGCCAACTCTTGTTGATCCTACCTATTACATGACCCTGTTTGCAATTGGCTAAGCGTACTAAATTAGCCTACTTTAGAAAATAAGCTGGCATTACATGAATGGTCATGCTAAAACCAGCTTGATGCATTTCACCAAAAGATTCAATGGCTCGAGAATAAAATGTGCTTGCCCTAACTACCAGATAACCTCTTAGCCAAGATTCAACTGAATTAGCTATACCCAGACCTGTAGCATCCAATGGTTGTTGAGAAAATAGTTCTCAACTGAATTGTATGCCTCCATTGAAACAAGTTCAGATCTTTAAGAACATCCCATTGGGCACACAACCTAGTACCACCGAATTGTAGAACATGAAAACAACTACATCACATAATTGAGCATGTGCACTCACCAGACCTTAGTGGGCTACAGAGTCAAAGGTCAGGTACTAAACAAAGCACGCCTTAGGGTGGTTGAGGGCATCCCCAACACAGCTGGCTAGGGATAGCCCTTTTTCAGTTTGGTTGGAAGGGTGCAGTTATCCCATATTTTTTTTGGTTCAAAAGATGAAACGTGGTTGAGGATAGCCATTGTAGTGTTTGGTTCGAGGGATAAATGAAGGATAAGGGTTGTGGTAACCTTTTTGACTTGAGATGGTGAGATTACCCTCATAATTTTCAATTTTTCAATGGAAGGAAAGAAAACATGTTATGTACAGTCATAATTTCGAAAAATTATACTGTTTCATAATAGACCAAAACAAAAAAGAGTGCAAGAACATGGCTACTTGCTGCTCAACAGTCAAGTGTATTGTGTCCTTTAGCAAGTTGTGATTCCTAAAGATTTGACAAAACCTAAAGAAAGGTTCTCTCCGAAGCCTAAGCATGTTCAGACAAGTTGTGTCATTCTTCCATATTTTGTTGTCAAAATACTCTCTTCTCATCCTATCTCTCTCATCAAATGGGGCGTACGTAATTGCCTCTCTTCTTTTTCTTTTTCTGGATTGAACAACCAATGTTATCATGTTGACAAACACTGGATTGCAGACCACATAAATTAACATCTTTGTTTTTCTGTCTATCTACAATGCAATTACAAATGATACTTTAACATGTGAACAAGAATAATTCAATAGCACACAATCTGTCTACAAGAAGCCAATTATTCAGAGGTAAATCAACGTTCTCTTCTAGTGTCAAATATTTCAGAAAAAGAAACAGGGGGGTAGGCAGTGGGGTGTATGTTTTACCTCGGATTAAAGGAGTTGTGCTGCTAGATGTGCTCACGGTGACCTCAAATATCCTGCAACAGTAGATAATATACATTAGTTCCCGCAAAAAAAACAGATAATATACATCAGTCTAGCACACGCACACATGAGCAGACTCTAGCACATGCACGCATGAACACTGTTCATCAGCCTACAGCAGCAAAGCATCAACCGCACACACATCAGATGATCAGAACACACACACGCCGACACAGCCGAGCGGACGCAGCCGTTCACAGCTCCACCGGGTGCGGGGGAGGAGCCGCGTAAGGTGCCCCATGGCATCAGCAGCAAGAATGGCCCCATGCAACCATCCACCCTACAAACTGTGGAGCCCTGACCATGCCGCAGCCTGGACAGGTGTGTTTGGCTCTGCAATGACTGCCGGCACGACACCGAAGCGGATGGAGATGAGACTCTTCGACTCTTCGTTCATTCTGAATAGACTGGTTCTTCATCTCGTGCAGCGAGGGCGCTGTGTCGTGCTCCCCTCAGCCTCATTTGCCTAGATTAAGATTTGTTATTGAGGAATATCTCATTTTGTTTTGGAAGGTTATTGAGGAAAATATTACGTCTATATTTTAGGAAGGTAATCTCAAGTATATGGTGAGAATTCTGAATTCTGAATTATCTATTTATTTACGTGATTGGAATGAATCAGAACCTGCCAAAGTAAGCACGAAACAAGATATCTCCTTCAATAAGATTTGGTTTTTCATGGAAAGGAGAAAAACCAGTTGATGGGGGTGGTGGGAGGTGACGAATAAAAACCGGACGAAAATAAAACTGGAGTACCAGGCTACCAACTGCTCCATTAGGAGTAGAGATTAGTCATGCATATTCGTTGAAGTTTGGGATTAGTGAGCTGTCTTTGTATATAGTTGTACCTTTTGTTTTTATATATGGAGGATAATCAACAAAATAGCTTTTCTCCTTTGATTTGGTTAGTCGCATGTAAATTTGCCTCAAGCACATCTGACAATATGCATCATCATATTTTGAATACAATTGTGACGAGAGGGAATAGAGGTGTAGGAGTGTGCGATGATTGACAAGGAGGAAATTTGGAGAAACTTCATGTTTATAGCTACACGATAGGTAGCAAAGCTTGCTGAAGATTAGGCATCATACTTGGAGAAGAATCTTGTTTGCCACTGTCGCATGAATCAAATGATGCACCTTTGTTACCACACAGTAGGACATGTGTTGAAGTTGCCGCATGTCCTATATGAGTGTCCATATACTAAGATGCCACCATCCATTGCTGGTGGTGATTGGGAACATGCTTGAGATCTGCTGGGCACACACATGACATCGGAGTGGGATGAAATGGTGGAGCGGGCCATTAGCATAATGGAACTGTGAGACTGATGGGGAATGATGAGGGGTCAGTGGGTGATGACGCAGCTGTAGTGTGGTAAGTTTTGGGCAGAGAGAGGTGAGGAAAGAGATTGTCTTCTCCCTTGAGGAGGTAGAAGATGGAGATGCCTAATGGGGAGCAAGACAACACCGCACATGGTGGTGGCTGTAGAGGGGGGGAGTAGAGAAAGATGGAGATGTTTGTTACTACACGGTTAACAACTTGTGTCTCACTTGACAAGTTTGTTAACCGAATAGAAGTATGACTTGATGAATAATTCTATATGTTCCCTTCTATTTTCTAGCAATGTATGGGCACCTAACTAGTCTCTTCAATGTACAGAACTGAGTGAACCATGCATGTCTATTTTTATGGTTGCACAAGTCTTGAAATGTTTGCATGCTAGGCTTAGTGTGAAACCATGTTTTGTATAAACAACGTATTTACAGAGTATATTGTTTTTTATTTAGGTAGCTGCTTGTACAAACTGCTGGAATTGTTGATGTTTTTTGTGTATTGTTCTACAGCCTAAATATTGTCTAACAATTGGTGGTTTTTGGTTTGCTAGTCCATCCAAAGTGCACATCTTTGTCAAGAATCCCGCCGGCAGGAAAATCTGTCTCAGGGGGGTCCACTTGACAGACACCCTTTACACCATCAAGGCAAAGATCCAGGAGCAGTACCGCCTCGTCTTCGATGGGGTGCAGCTGGAAGACAACCGTACATTGGCGGATTACGGCATCAAGCATGATTTCACGCTTGACCTCCAAGAAAAGATGCAAATCTTTGTGACAGAAACGCTAGAAGGAAGGACCATCACTCTCGAAGTCGACAGCCTAGACACCATTGACAAGGTGAAGGCCAAGATCGAAAACACTGAGGGCTTTCCCAAGGTCCAGCAGTGCCTCATCTTTGCCAACAAACAGCTGGAGGACGGCAAGCGCACCTTGGCTGACCACAACATTTGTAAAGGGTCCACTCTTCTCCTCATCCTCCTCCCGTGTAGCCCAGATGGTGTGATGCAAATCTTTGTGAAGACGCCGGAATGGAAGAGCCTCAACCTTAAGGTTGGGAGCTCGGACACCGTTGACAGTGTCAAGGTGAAGATCTACGAGAAAAACGGTGTTCCTCCTAGACAGCAGCGCCTCGTCTTTGCTGGCAAGCAGCTGGAGGACCACCGAACCCTGGCGGACTACAACATTAAGAGCAATGATACCTTTCAATTGGTGTACCGCCTTTGTGGTTGCTGATGAGCTGAATGGCCTGCCATTCAACAACCTGTTTTATTTTGCTGGAGCCTTCCTTCCAGTAGTGGTGTACTATCATCATTCTATTACGTTAATATTGCTCCACTCTTGTTCCGTTGTTCTGGTAGTGGTGTGTTAATTAGCAGCAAAACTATCATTGCTAGTACGTTGATGTGTTTGAGTAGTTCTTATCAATCAAGGAAAGAATCTACTATTAAAGAGTCCTTGGGTCTGTCTTGGCATAAGTTAGTTGATTTAAAAATACAGCCTGCAAGCAGTTTTGCCGACTGCTAATTTACTCAGTGCGGTTAATTTCTGTGTTTATCCTTGTTTTTTTATCTATGCCATGACAGTCAAAAGTTGAAGCAACCGGAATCCTAACGGGTAAAGTCATTGCTTATGCTTGTGGTGATGTCAGGCTAGTAGGACATAAGTGTTTGTTCATTAATATTCAGATTTTTTTTATTTGACCTTGTATATTTGTAGGTTGCATCAATTATTTTCCAATTATTATATGAACAAGTTGGCGTCTTTTTAATACTTGTAAGAATATCTCCAGATCGGCTTTACTCAGCCCACGGTTCCTCTCATGGTTCAAGGATTGCTAGGATGTATCTACCTTTTAGAAACTATGTTTGGTTGTTCGATACGTAGGTACCAGTATGTTTCACGCCAGCTATGTGTCTTCTAACATGTTCTGGGATCTTCCGATGTGAGACCTATTTTTACTTTTACTGTATGAAAGAAAAGCTTATTTGCAGCTTGATCTCGTTCAAATGTTACTACTTATAAGCAGAGTATTATGATCTGTGTAAAAAAATAATGAATGACATTGGTTATGCACATTTCATATTTGCTTTACTCCCATTTTAATTTTTTATTTTCTTCAATATGTTTGGCAACATTAACTAACACAATAACTTTGTACTACCGGTTCTTCTATAATTTAGTAGAATGAGTTTTTAGTGAAGTCTCAGTCAATTCCCTGGCAGTTAGATCTTTTGCGTTGCTTTAAAATGCATGCAGCTCTATTGTCTTTTGTAAATAAGCCCGCATAGGGGACGGACTGGGCAAGGCTGTTTTTTCATCTCGGTGTTTTTGTGTGTGCGTGTATGTGTGTTCAGTGGTGGGCTGAGCCTGGAGGGGGTCTTTTCTCTGTCTATAGGGATTTATTTTGCCAATTGCTCTACAAAGGTTTGGGTTGGTTTCACCTCTTTTTTTGGATTTTTCCTACAGTAGGTGATGAACAGATAGAGTGAACAACCTTGTGTATGTGTTTTTCTGTTCTTAGTTAGTAGAAGTATAAAGCATTTAGTTCAGGTGCCTTCTAAATTTTAGGTTTTTAGGTTTTTTATTTTTATTATATTTTCAATTTTTGGTTCATACAGGATTTTTAAATTAACCCTATTTACTCTTAGCCAAGTCTCGGTCAACTCCTTGTCCATTAGATCGTTGTTGCTTTGAGATCTATGTAGCTATGCATGTGTTGTAATGAAATCGGACTATTTAGGCGTGCGACCGAAGTATCACCTTTTCTTCTTCTTTTTTTCCTCTCGTGTCTGCCTAGTATGATAGATGGGATGGGCTTTGTGAGTTTTTTTCTTGTCTGGTTTTGTGTTTTTCCTTTTTGTTTTTTCGTGTTGCAATTTTTCGACGTTGGGAAAACCATCCAGAGAGGGAAAACAAGCTATTGAGAGCTATCAATGGTAATTATTTTCTATTTTTTAATTTTCTTGTAATTGTTTTTAATGTTTTTTTTGTCTAAGTTGCTTTTGATTTTTTATTTATTTTCCTGTGTTTTGTATTTTAACTTTAGTGGAGGCAAAGATACGCCGTCGGACAGGCCGGCAGTGGAGAAGTACGGCGCAGACCGACATCCAACTCCTACAATGGTCAAGTCCGCGCTAGTAGCTACCTCACCATTCGAAACCGAGGGTGAACATTTCCAAACATGCAGTGTGGAGAAAGAGAAGCGCCGTCACAACACTGTTGGGAAATCATTAACTGGTAACTGCTTAGGTGGCCGCTGAGTAGAGGATTAATAGGCCAATCGGCAAGTTAATCGGTCATTTAATTAATTAATCGGTCAATTTAGCTGTTTATCGGTTACTCGGTGAACCGGCGAGTAGGGATTTATGTGCAAGTTAACTGGTTAAGTGGATAAGTTCGTGGACATGAGTCACAAGCACAAATCAGTAAGCATCGATTGATGTCCACAAGATGGGAGGCCATTTGTCTCCTCAAGACAGGAAAAGAAAAGAAGACTCATTCCGTCATGCACGTCTCTGGAATTCTAAGTTTCATTCTAACAGAATGTCGTGGTGACAATAATAAGCATTCTTCTTGCATGTTTACAGTTGAACAACATCCATGGGGAGAAAACTGAAAACAAAATGTGGTTTGTAGAAAATTATCCGTCTCCATGTAGTGTACGGGTTTAGTAACCATCAATGAATATTAAGAAAATAGGAGGCAAGGTGCATGTCTCCACAACACAGAAATTTCCTCATACTGAAGACAAATGGTCCCCGGCTGTCTAAATGCAAATAGTTTGGTCATGCACGTGTACGGATTTTTCAGAGAGAAACCCATCATGCCTAGCTTTATTGATATTAAATAATTGTCACAGCGAAAAGGCCAATGCGTTGATCACTCCAAAAGATGAAACAACAAAAGATGGCAGCCAAGGATCAAAGAGCGCGCGCATACGGTGCGCACCAAGGATCCGTCAGACCAGTAGGTGCTCCCAGTTCGTAGGCTGCGCCTTGGTGAGGCCACCGGATTTCATGGTATGTGCTAATGCAAGGTCAGAGCACATCATCAAGCTTGTCGGTATGGCGATAGTGTTTGTCAAGATGGTGGCTTTGGGTCGTTTCATGTTTTTTTTATCAGGCCTTGGTGAATAATATAATATAAAGATGGCTGAATGCATCGATCGATGCAAAGGCCAGGGATGATCCTCCTTTTCGCAAAAAAAAAAAAAATCACAGCGGCGACTATGAACTTTAACAAAAAAGCTAAAGTGCTAAACTACCAAGATATAAAATTATAATAAGGAAAAGGAACAGGTTATTTCACGTGTCAGGTGCTTCCTCCCATTTTGAACTATACCGACCATCTGTTAGAATATATAACCGTATTAGTTTTGTATAGTTATACGGTTGTATATTTGTAGTCCTTATATAGGTGTCCATATATTATACGATACGAACTTCGCCTTGTATCCTATATATATTGATCAATACAAGGAACCACAACGTGTGGTTTCCCTAATCTTACATGGTATAGAGCCTAAAACCCTAACCCTAGTCTGTGCCGCCCTCCTCCTCTTTCCGCTGCCACCGAAGCCACCACCCCGATCGCCTCCGCCGCCGCGCCCCGATCGCCGCCTCCATGTCGCAGCCCGTCGCGGACGCCACGAACCAGGCACTGGCCGCGGCCAAGGAGCGCCAGGATGCCGAGGCCGCCAAGGCCAAGCTGCCTCTCGCGACCGCCCCCGATGGATCTGGGACGAGCGTGGGGTCTTTCTCCCTGACCTTGCTGCACGCCCAGGCCGTCGGCCTACACTCCATCAAGGGACACGTTCCCGTCGAGCTCCCGCTTGACACCGGCGTTCACCGTCAGTGGCGCACGTTCTTCCGCGCCGCTTGCCGCAAGTACGCCCTCCTGGATCACCTCTACTTTGACGCCCCCGACGCGCCAAACCCGGAGTGGTCTCTCCTCGACGCCACCATCGTCTCTTGGCTCTATGGCACTAGTAGAAAAATGGTCAAACGTGAAGCACATTAGTGCCGGTTTGTATTTGAGCCGGCACTAATGTACACATTAGTGCCGGTTCCAACGGATAGCCGGGCCGCTTTCATTAGTACCGGTTCGTGGCGAACCTTTAGCACCGGTTCGTGCCACGAACCGGTACTAATGAGAGTGGTGGCAGGATGTTGCCAGAGTGGGGCCCCTCCAGCACCTTTAGTACCGGTTCGTGCCACGAACCGGTACTAAAGGTCGTCCTATATAAACCCTTCGTCCACCAGCACTCTATTCTTCCCCCTTTCCCCTCTCCGGCCCTCTCCTCTGTTCTTCCCTTCTTCCTCTCGAGTTCATCACAAAATTTGCCCAAAATTTGTCAAGATTTGAAGGCCCTCATCCATTTAAATGATCACAAAGGTTAGCAACTTTGTCCTTTCATCTCTCATTGCTAGATTAGCTCTTGCATTGGTTTATATAGTGATTAATTTGTGAGTTTAGTAATTTGGGAGGATATATATATATATATATATATATATATATATATATATGCTAGTATTTGATTTATATGCAATTTGAGGTCAAAAATAACACTTAGTTTGCATATGTAGGTGTGGTTTACTTAGTGCCTTCTAAATCTCCATCGTAGCCACCGTCGATCGCCCGCACCGTCCCGTCTCGGCACCACTTTGTGGTGAGCCTCTTGTTCATGAAATTTTATATAAAAATTGATGTTTGTGTGATTTGGATATATAGTTACTCGTATAATTATCTTACCCGTACGTTGTTTGTTATACATATAGTGCCATGGTTTTGATATCCGTCCCCGTCGGCCCTAGTCCTTGTTATGATTCGGATGTGGTATGTATATTCTCTTTTAAAACTAGTTACATTTCGTGTTTATGACAAATTATGCCCATCAAGTTGACATAGAAATTTTTTCTAGGAGGTATCTGAACCGGAAATTCCAATCGACCCTATTACCGAGAGGTTAAATTTAGTTGAAAGAGAAAACGAGTACTTGAAAGAAAAATTGAAAAGAATTGAGGGGGAGAAGATGGAATTGGAGTTGCATGTTGCCGATGTCGTCGATGATCACAAGATCAAGATGGAGAAAATGCGCTTGAAGATTAGAAAGATTAGAAAATATGCCATCGATAGTGAGGCTTGGTATCATTATGCTGTTGGATCCATTGTTACCTTAGTTGCGATCTTGATCGTATTTGTTGTTGCATTTAAATGCTTTAGCTAGAGAGTTA